TTGCGCACGTCGTCTATTTCCTGCAGGTTGTCAGAAAAGCAAGGGTCATTCTCTGAACGTTCCTGGTGCCCAATTTTAGGGAAGAAGTTTTCTAATGATTATTGCATGGTGCAGGGTAATCAATCTGTTTGTCGGCTTTCACTGTAAACCCCACACGCCCCGTGAGGTTTAGAGATCGTGGCAAGGTAGCACCTTACTGGCTGGGGGCTGCCCAGCTTAAGGTGGACGGTAGCTACTTAGTGAGGTGCAATGACCTCTCCCACTGTCGGAAGTAGCTCCTGGCTCTATGCCAATCAAGCAAAGACGTATAACCAGCATCTGCTACTTCCCGTGTTGTTTCGACGCTGTATGCAAAGCTGGAGTGTCCTCTCCAGAGCAAAAAGCCTGGGTTAAATAATATGGAGGATAGGCTGTATCCAATGGAAAGGCAAGAGCCAATACAATTGGTTCCAACGACGTCGCAAGAATTGCCAGAACGACATGAACTGCCTCCAGGACTCCGGCTCTGGATTTTGACTCAAGGTTAACTCCTGAAGCCTTTTCCATCAGCGGATATAGCCACAAGGCAGTGGACGTTTGAAATTGGAGTTGTCCTTCTCCTAGAGGAGCTGCCTTCCAAGGCTGATGAGCCCCACTTACCCGGCTCCAGGCCCTATAATCCTACTAAAGTTCATAGAAGGCTGAACACCAGCCTACAGGTGGGACAGGGAGAAGTTTTTCCCCAACCTGCTGCTGCTGCTTCTGACTTATGGCCACCCTATAAGTTAGGTAAAGGTAAAGGTTCCCCTTGACAATTTTTGTCCAGTTATGTTCGACTCTAGGGGGCGGTGCTCATCCCCGTTTCCAAGCCATAGAGCCAGCGTTTTGTCCGAAGACAATCTTCCGTGGTCACACGGCCAGTGCGACTAGACACGGAATGCTGTTACCTTCCCACCGAGGTGGTCCCTATTGATCTACTTGCATTTGCATGCTTTCAAACCGCTAGGTTGGTGGGAACTGGGACAAGCGACGGGAGCTCACTCCGTTGCGTGGATTCGATCTTACGACTGCTGGTCTTCAGACCTTGCAGCACAGGCATCTGCGGTTTAGCCCACAGCACCACCACATCACTTCAAAAACTCCTATTCTTAACAACCCTGTTCAGCTCCTGCAATCTCAAGGGTGTGACTTTTAAAAAATTGAATAAATACATCTCTCATTTAATCCTTCTCTTTCCCTGTTGCCTTCAACTTTCTCCAGCATTATCTGCTTTTCCATTGAGACTCATATTCTTCTGATGTGGCTAAAGTATGAAAGGCTCAGTTTAGTCATTTTTATTTCTAGGAAGAGCTCTAGCTTAGTTTACTCTAGAAATCACTTATATGCTCTCTTCTAACTGCACATTTCAAAGGAATCTTTTCCCCCACCTTTCAGCTTCCTTTATTGTCCAGATTTTACATCCACCAGGAATACCATAGCATAGATGAACTTCACCTTGGTCTCCAGTGGCACATTCTTGCACTTGAGGTTCTGTCAATGTTAAAATTATGTAATTCTTCTGTAGACATGATTTTTGTCTTTTTAATATTCAGTTGTGTTACGCATTAATAATCCTAGAACTGTAGATCTGGAAGGGACCCTATGGATCATCAAGTCCTGGAAGACCTAGCTGAACTTAAATACTTAGACAGTCAGTCCCACTGAAGACCTATGAATATACGTGAAGCAGGTTTTTTTTTTAAACAAAATCCCACTAAGTTTAAATACCATGTGGAATTTCCTGCTGGTGTAAAATGGATGAATCTGCCTTTTAAACTTTTTTTAAAACTGATCACATGACACGAAGGTAAACTCAAATCAGTCTGGCCGTTTTTGCTTCCAGCATGGAGCTTTTTCTCTGCTGCTGGGGGCTTCTACTTTTTTTCAAGATAAAGCAATTTAAATGGACTTTCCCCTGTGTGATTGATTGTTTCATTCTCCAAAAGGACTGGGTGTGACTGTGCATGGCTATTCTGGTGAAATACTAAACTGGGCATGACGTTTGTAACAGTGGGAACAATTTTTCTCCCTAGTCCCTCCAAAATATTTATTTTTATTTTTAAAAAATGAGCTGTCAAGTTTAGTGCTAGATCATTCTATAATCACATTGATATACTAGTTTAGTGCTAGATCACCTCTGCATGGACAAAAAGAAAAAAGAAAAAGAAGATAAAAGTTGATATGGAATAGAAACAACTCCTATGAACTACAGCAAACCACTTTGGTTCTGTGGTATGTCTTTGTAGAAAAGACATGGAAAACTTTGGAAAACTGTCCCTTTTCCATAGTGTTGTGCAACACTTTAAACAGCCTGCTGGATTTATAATGAACCATAAAGGAGGAGCCATGGATCAGCAGAAGTCATAATAAAAGGAAGGGGGGCTGTGGGCTGTGCCATGGCTTAAGCTGCACCCAAGCTATCCACAGTCTCTATGTGATCACCAAATCTAAACAGAAGAGTAAAATAGGTTGTGAATCAAGCTACAGCAAAGCCAAATCACTCCTGATTTGATTTGTAGTCATAGCACTTTATTTCAAAAGTTACACTTCAGATAGAAAAGTCTAAATCTTATTTTTAATTAAACTGAGTCTTGGTGGGGTGGGCACATGGTTGAAAGAGAGACAGAAGGTCAGCTCCCTACATAAACAAGAAAGGAAAGCGACAGGCCATGGTCCCACCAGCAAAATAGTGCCGGTGGTTACACAACTTTTAATCACATTCCTGTTGTGCTTTGTGGTCATGTTGTATTTATTTCAAGATGTGCACCCCAACGTGATTTTGGGTTACAAAATCATTTGCTTCAGTTATTTCACCAGCTACACTGTGATGCCGGATTATTATTCATCTTGGGCACTGCAACTCTAGGTTATGTTTTTTTTGGGGGGTGGTGGTTTAGCAGTACATCAATATGTTGGGAACTGTTCCATGATGGTTTCATTTTTTTCTGTGTCTTCAGCACCCCAGGAAACAATGCACTGCAGTCAATGAACCAATACCACCACCACTGCTGAAGATCCAATTCAGTAAGTGCCTAGAGCTTCATGTTGTGACCGTTTGGCATAAACACCACGGAATTTTTTTTAAAAAAAGTACTGACATTTTAAGGGACATGCCCAGTGACAGTAATTTAAAAATATTGTGATAAGATCATTTTCACACAAACAGCAACACAACATTGTTTCAAAAAGATCTACAACAAAAAAAAGTTGAAGCCTCTGGCCAAGCAAGAAATGATCCGCAGTTTGCATGCTTGCCGGGTAAATGATTTGCTAATGACTGTGCGGCAAGTTCTTAAAGAAATGGGAGTGCCTGACCACCTTATCTATCTCCTGCGAAATCTATATGTGGGACAGGAAGCAACAGTTAGAACTGGATATGGAACAACTGATTGGTTCAAAATTGGAAAAGGAGACAAGGCTGTATTGTCTTCCTGCTTATTTAACTTATATGCAGAATACATCATGAGAAAGGCTGGACTGGAGGAATCCCAAATTGGAATTAAGATAGCCAGAAGAAATATCGACAACCTCAGATATGCAGATGATACCACTCTGATGACAGAAAGTGAGGTTAAATAACCTCTTAATGAGGGTGAAATAAGAGAGCACAAAAATGGTCTGAAGCTCAACATAAAAAACAACAACACACACACCAAGATCATGGCCACTGGCCCCATCACCTCCTGGCAAATAGAAGGGGAAGATATGGAGGCAGTGACAGATTTTATCTTCTTGGGCTCCATGACTGCTGCAGACGGTGACAGCAACCATGAAATTAGAAGATGCCTGCTTCTTGGGAGGAAAGCTATGACAAACCTAGTCAACATCTTGAAAAGCAGAGACATCAACTTGCTGACAAAGGTCCGCATAGTCAAAGCTATGGTTTTTCCAGTAGCGATGTATGGAGGTGAGAGCTGGACCATAAAGAAGGCTGACATCAATTTAATTGATGCTTTTGAACTGTGGTGTTGGAGGAGACTCTTGAGAGTCCCCTCGACTGCAAAAAGAACAAACCTATCCCTTTTGAAGGAAATCAACCCTGAGTGCTCACTGGAAGGACAGATCCTGAAGCTGACGCTCCAATACTTAAGCCATTTCATGAGAAGAGAAGACTCCCTGGAAAAGATTCTGATGTTGGGAAATTGTGAAAGCAAGAGGAGAAGCAGACGACAGAGGATGAGATGGTTGGACAGTGTCATCGAAGCTACCAACATGAATTTGACCAGACTCTAGGAGGCAGTGGAAGACAGGAGAGCCTGGCATGCTCTGGTCCATGGGGTCACAAAGAGTCGGACACAGCTTAACGACTAAACAACAACAATGCATTCTGTGACTGCTAATTTATGATAAGAACTCAATGGGGAATAGGGAGGCAACATTTGCCTTGTGTGACCACAGCCTGAGAAGGTGATAGTAACTCCTAGGAATATCAGTCTGGGATAGAGAGGAATATAGCAGAGCTCTGAGACAGAAAAGGACAGAGTAGGATTTACTGCCATCAACTCCCAAATTGCTTGGAGGACTCTAGGGCAACAGATTGCAGTCCTGCTTTTGCACTTTCTTCTCTCACCTTCATCTTGCGTCATTTCAAGTCATTGCTGCCTTCTGCCAGTAATATGGTGCCATTTGCATGTCTTAATTACTCATATATCTTCCAACAATTTTCATTCCAGTCCAGCTTTCTGTATGAGATGTTCTGCACAGAGATTGAACAGACAGGAAAATAAAATATACCCTTGGCTGATACCTTTGTCTGACTACCAGGTCATATATATATGTCCTGGTAGTCAGACAAAGGTGCTAGTCAAGGGTATGTTTTATCTTCCTGTCTGTTCAATCTCTCTCTCTATATATAAAAGGCTCATGAGCTGCCCTGCTCCAAATAGTACAACACTCCTCAATTTTAAAACCACTTCAGTCACAAAAATAAGATGTCCACTTCCTCCAGCACCATTCAAGCTGAGATTTTCCTCTCTGCCTGAAGATCTAGAAGAGCACAACAATTCTCAATACCTTTAATGGGTGCTCTTGGCAACCCTAGACAAGCAAAATAGAACACTCTGATTTACCAAGGTAGATTCAGTACTTTTCTCCGACAAGGTACAGATTTCTGAATGTCACTCTGGCTTCATGTCATGTGAACTTAAGTCATATCAGGGAGATTCTAATGATGAAAGCAGAACCTGGAAAAGTTGTATTTTTACTACAGCTCCCAGCTGGCATGGCAAAAGAGCACAAACAGCCTGCATTTGGGGGGCGGGGGCTGGGGGGCAAGAAGAGCTATAAGTGACCTTAATCCTCTAATTTTTATAGATTGGTTGAGTGCTGCCTGCAGAAAGGAACTTCAACCAGGTAGCTTTAAAGTATGTTTCTTTTTGAAATTTTAAAGAAGTTTATTTTTTCAGTGTCCTGTCTGACATCATTCAATGAAACAAGCCTAAGATTGCAGCCTTCCTGGTTCAAACTGGGACTAAAAAATAAACCATGCTTTTAAGAGGAACCAGGAAGAGAGGAACGCCATAGAAGAAAATGCTTGATGAATTGAGAGGAGGAGAATGTCATATGGATGGTGAAAAAATACTGGTTGGGAATCACTGATATAGATCTGAGTACTTTGAGGAGAATATGTGCCCCATCTGGAACAATTCTGTTAGTGTCTCAACTAATAACAAATACACTTGTCCCAAAGCAACATTTGTTTGTTTGTTTGTTTGTTTGTTTGTTTATATCCCGCCTATCTGGTCAATTACGACCACTCTAGGTGGCTTACAACGTAAAATACACAGATAAATACAAAAATAATTATTATGTAATAAACAAATTCGACAAGATGGAAGGTGAACAATAAGAGAAGAGAGAGAAGGAAAACATCAGGGATTAACTGGAGGGAAGGCCTGCCGAAACAGCCACATTTTTAGTTGATTTTTAAAGATACCTAGCGAGGGGGCTGCGCAAATCTCCAGAGGTAGGTTGTTCCAGAGGCGTGGAGCCACTGCCAAGAAGGCCCGGTTTCTTGTTTTTTCCTTCCGGGCCTCTCTCGGCGTTAGGCTCCTCAGCCTCACCTCCTGACTCACATGAGTGACACGGGTAGAACTTGGTGGGAGTAGGCGTTATAATAAACAAATTAACATTAATCCACCAAGGACTTAACTTATTAAGGGAGTTGCACATGTGCAACCTCTTTAGTACTTAGAAACAAATGATTGCTCTTCAGTGCCAGCATGATTGAAAATCTGTGACCTAGAACTACATGTGATAATCAAGACATAATTGGTAGCTGAGAAAGGATTGTAAGATTCAGAGAAATCTCTTAAGACATCATCTTAATAAGCGGGAAATCATAATGTAACAATGGAAGGTTATTGCAACCCAGCAATCCTTAGCAATGTTTTCTTTCATAAGATATTTAACTACTCGCATGTTCTAACAGAAAGTGGCAGATTAATCATAAGCACTCAATTTTCACTGAATCTCAAAACTGTTGAATGAATTACCTCTTGTGGTGTGTCAGTTTCTTCTTCAAGTTCTTCTAATAAAACCATTTGACTATTGTTGGATAAAGTGACTTTTTGAAATTGCAGTGAATTTCATAACAATACATTGTGACTGAGCCTCAGAATGGATCTCTGGATGACTTTGAAACGTAAAAGAACTGATGATGTTGATGAGGGTGCATCTGTTCAAAGCAAAATGAAGTTACTTCCAGTCCTCTTAAAAAGTGTCATCGTTATAGCAAGGAATTATCTGTCAATGAGACCTTTCATGAGAAGCATTAAATACTTGATGCTCTTTAGGGCTTTAAACCTTGAGAAGTATTGCTAGGTAGTCCCCAACAACAAAAGCTATTTATATTTAAAAGGGATCTGTGGTAAAGAAAACGTTAAGAACTACTGATCTACAAGGTTTGGGCTGGCAAAAAATTTAGACAATTTAGAAGGGTCTGGCCTTCTTTAATGATTCTCTCTCTCTCTCTCTCAGCTCTACATCTCCTTTTCACTATCGTCTTCCAACAGAGATCTGCCTGGCTCCCTCGCTGGGTGTTTTTAAGAGCCATTTAAAGACTTGGCTCTTTAGGCAGGCCTTCCCTTCTGTCAATCCTTGAATTCTATCTTTTTGTTCTATCATTCCCCATCTTGAACACACTATATTATTGATTTAATTGTTTAATGATTATGTTGTTTTATTGTATTTTGTATTGTATTGTATTGTATTGTATTGTATTTTATAATATTTTATGACATTTGTAAGCTGCACCGAGCAGACACTGTCGAGCGGGGTGGGGTAAAAAAAGAGCAAACAAACAAACAAACAAACAAACAAACAAACAAACAAACAAACAAACAAACAAACAAACAAATAAAAAGAGTGCAATTTTTAAAAGAATTGTTTAATGTTTAAATCTGTTTTTCACTTTAAATATTGCCTTTTAATGATGCAGGTGACCTTAGGAGAAAGATGGGGTGAAAATATTTAAAATAAAGAAAAGGAAATAATAAAAGTGAATTTCCCTATGTCCAAACTGTGGAACTCCTTGCCAGAGGATGTGGAGATGGCATTAAGAAACAACAGCAACAACCAGTGAAATGAAGAGCAGAAGCCAGAATGACTACCGTATTTGCCGGTGTACAAGATGACTTTTTGGCCCCAAAACCATGCCTCCAACTGGGGGGGTCGTCTTGTATGCCGGATGCATTTCATTTGGGCCAGGAAGGAGGTGCTGCAACTGCCGCCGCCACTGAGTAAGTGACGCGGGGCCGCGCCAGCCGGAGAAGAAGGCAGGCGGGCAGGCAGGCAGTCGGTCCAGAGGGAGGAAGGGAAGCAACGCATGGCCAGAGCCCGCTGCCCTGCGCCGCTGAGCCCGCTTGACTGCACACCGCCAGAGAGCTGCTTCTTCGCCAGCCGGAGAAGAAGGCAGGCGGGCAGGCAGGCAGTCGGTCCGGAGGGAGGAAGGGAAGCAACGCATGGCCAGAGCCCGCTGCCCCGCGCTGCTGAGCCCGCTTGACTGCACACGCCGGAGAGCTGCTTCTTCCCCTCCTCCTCCTCCTCCGCCGCCTGCTTCCCTTCCCTTCTCACCCTTGCACCTGAGCCAGCTCGCCCACTCGCCCACGCGCTGCTGGAGAGCTGCTTTTCCTTCCCCTCTGCCACCGCCGCTGCCGCCACCCACTTCCCTTCCCTTCTCGCCCCAAAAACATGCCTCCAAGTGTGTGTGGGGGGGCGTCTAATACACCCAGTCGCTTTGTACGGTGGCAAATACAGTATTAATGTAATAATATATAATTATAGGGGAGATGTAAACAAAGAGAAGAAGAAAAATTGTCAATACACTTTGATTTTGATTTACCTTTTTAGGTATGGAAATGACCCTCTCTTCATGTCTCCCTCCCTGAAAAAAACCTCCCGCAGTGCAGAGCCCTTTACCTGCTCAAGCCCAAATAAATACCTCCCCCGTGAGTCCCACCCTGTGCCGCAACCCCTTCCCTGGTTCTCCTCCCTCACCTTTTCTCCTTTCCTGCCTTCCTCCTCTATGATCAGGTGGGGGCTGAAGACATTTCCCTGCCCAGGTCTCCTCTCCATTCATTGTACCACCATCACTACGCTTGGAAGACTGGGAGACTCAGGCAGAGCAAAAGGCACTGCTGCAGTGGCGGCAACAACTTTATATCCTACCACCAATTATTTCCATAAGAAATTTCACCACGAAGTTTTTCGATTCAGGTTGCCCTTTGCTATACAAAGCTTGGCAACCTTATTCCTGCTGGCAGCGAGGGCAAGATACTGTGCAGCAATATCAGGTCATTTCCCAGCCTTTTGAATCATGGATACAGAAGTACAATATCCCACATTCATAACCAGAGGTCTTTTGAAAGATTGAATCAGTTGCATTCCTGTGCATTAGCAGAAAGCACAACAGCTGATGGTGGATGGAACACACACACACACACACACACACACACACGACTCCTTGCACATGCATACGTGCACATGCACACACACACAAGACAAGCAAGCAAGCATTTCATTTATATGTGTGTGTACACATGCACACATGTGCATGCACACGAGGGTGTGCACACACACAAAACAGGCGGAAAAGCATTCGCTTGGACTCTGCCTCACTGTACCCATTCATTTCCTTCATAACTGAGCTGATGCGCAGAGAATCACAGCTTCAGGCCAAATCAGAAACGTCACTGTCTGCTCCTGTTTCCTTCTGTGCCTGGTTTCAAAGCTGGATAGTTGGATGAAGTCAATTTTAAAACAAATGTTCATGCCCCCTCCAACCCATATTCATACAGAGCTTTATGAGGCTGGCCATTCAGCAGGAGGGGAATGCAGGGTGAGGTAGCAGGAAGGAAGGGGCAGGCTGGTGGCAACCCAAGTCCACAGTGGGTTCTTATCTTAATGCTCTAGCCTCTGTGGCCAACAAACACCTGTGTTAAAAATCCCTCACCTACGTTTCAACAGTGAGGCATAATATATTTCAGAATGCATAATGAGGGTATAGGATTGCCAAAGTTTCTGTTGCAATGAGCTTTGGTTGCAAAGTTTCCTATTGTCACAAGATAAAGGGAATAAAGATCTTGGTGGTCACAGATGAGGCAGTTAAGTGGCAGGGCCAAGGATTGGCAACCTTTCAGAAGAGCCACTGACTATCAAAAAAGAATCAAAAAGGGTACGGATTTGCATAATATTCTGGCAGCCCCTCATATAGAGAACTCCCTCAAAGAGGACTCTCAGCCCCTACTCATTAAACAAACAACAACACCAAAAAACTCCACATTTCATTTCTCAGTGGGGAACTTAATAAGTTGTTTTTAGGCTATTTTTTTTCCTGTGAAAAGTGCTTCTAATTTTATTGTTCTTAAGAAGAATAATTGTAAGATAAGAAGTATTTTCTAATGTTTATATTATTGCAAACCATCCTGAGCACTGCTAGGGGAAGGGTGGACTTCAATGGTTCCTAAACGACTGCAGTCTACAATCTGCTGATAGTTCCCATCCCTGTGCACTAATGTGTCACTAAAGTGTGGAGCAGACCTCACGCAAAGAGAGTCTCATCATGTTCATGATCCAGATGTTCACCTAAATGATCCACCACTGCATTAATTTGTGAAAATGCACAGAGTTAAGGATCAGCAGTGGCAAGGTGCTGAGAAATAAATACATCTTAAATGCACTTCTGCAGAAGATCTTAAACCACAGGCAATTTCCTGAAAAACAAACAGGTGTACTTTGAAGAAGGGAAACATCTGGGTATTCCCAACATAGGCATTTAAATATTCTCCCTTTCCTCTCCACACTTTAAACAAAGAACTAGATTTGACTTCCCCATCTTTTGTTTAACTGAATGCAACATAGCAAGATAACAGAAAGGTGACTAAAATGGACAGATAGAAAATTTTATATCTAGATTAATAATAAGCTTTGTCCTGGCCGAAGGCCAAAGTATCTCAAATAATGCCCCAAATCTTGTTGTATAGCATAGTAAATCACACTAGAATAGGCTTTTAGTTGTGACTTTAGCATAGTAAGATGCAACCAGAGTAGGCCCATCTGAATCAATGAAACTTATGGGGGAGTTTGCTCATCATAACTGCTGGTTAGCTCAGGAGCGTAGGTCTCTGGTTGCTGAATAGGCCCATCTGAATCAATGGAACTTATGGGGGAGTTTGCTCACCATAACTGCTGGTTAGCTCAGGAG